CCCGCCGCCCCCGACCTCCGTTATAAATGCAGGCGCCCGCACTCGCCGGTGTATACGTGCCTCTGCCCTCCGTGCTGCCTGTCGGTGTCGGTGTCGCTCGCGTGCCGTGCCGTGCCGTGCCGTGCCGTGCCTTGTCCGCGTGTGTCGTCTTGTTGTGTGTTGTTGTCTGTCGTGCCGTGCAGTGTCAGAGCCGCAGCGCCATAAAAAGGGATTTCCCGGCTCGACTCCCTTACATTTGTGTCGTGGTTGTTTAAACCTTTTCGGATACACGGTGAGTAAAAAAAAAATAACAACAAAAAACAAAAAGTTGACCTCAACCACCTCCGCCTGCATCACCCCCCACTGGTGACTGGATTAACAACAAGTGCGCCGAGGAGCCCGAGAAGAGTGTGACGTGACGTGTGACGGTGTGACGGAGTGATGGACGTGAGCCTGGTAAACGTCGGTGACTTGAATGCGCGAGGGGACTGGTAGTGCCGTGCACAGCAGTATTTCAAACTGCCGTCGATGCTGACAAGTGTAAATTTATAAATCCAAAATTTAATATTTGTTGACCACCAGAGCAAAAAGAAAAGAAATTTGTTTGAAATATTAATGTACCATGCAAGGCAGAACAAGACCAAGATGGGAGTCGTGGTCGTGGGTCATTTTCAATGTCAAAATTATATCAATTTGTCAATCTGTTGTTCCTTGTGAGAATGGTTCACATTGTTCTAAACGCATTTAATACCTCGACAAAAAAAAATCAAATTGAGCTTACTGTACTGTAAATGCGTCACGAACGAGCGATATATATATATATATGGGGTGGAGAGGGGGGAGGGGTTAGAGACATTAGTGGGGATCTGGAGGTGCAAAGTGCCGCACTGTCTCCACTATGTCATGCCTCGCGCGACAGGAGCAGCTTCTGTCACAACCGTACCGGAAGCAGCTAGGAATGGCATCTAGCAGAGCACCTGAAGTGTTTTATTTCCCTTACGTGAGAGAAATAGAAGGGACAGCGCAGTGTACATAAAAAAAAGTTTCAGGACATGAACAGGAGCGGTTCCCTTTTGAATAATTGCTCTTCCTTACGTCACGTAGTAAACTCTTAATACTGATGGGTGTTAGCTGTTTCTTTTGCTTCAAGCTTCACCCCCCCCCCCACCTCGCAATCAAGAGACAAAAATCTTGGGTGCTTTAATGAAAAGATGAGTAGCAGAGCTTTATAACTATTAAAAGTAAAACCTGTTAGTACCTTTATCAAGTAGTTAAGGCGTCATTTGAAACCTCTAACTGGTACAAAGCTGCCTAATCCATTTTGTTCCTGTATGGATTTTCTCCTATGCTCTGCGTTACTGTTCTTCATCTCGTCATCTCCATTTGGCTTTCGCCTTCCGTAACGCCGCCTTTGCTTCGGCTCGGCTGATGACAGTTCCGCTTCTACAGCTCCTCGCCGGGGCCGGGGCCGGGGGCCGCTGGGGCTGTACCACCGTACACCGCACCGGCGATCACCCGGGTGAGCGCGCGGTCGGCGCCCCGCTGCAGCGCGCTGCCTGAGCTGAGCAGGTTCACGGGGCACATGATTGTGGATGACGGGCTGCGCGGCACGGCGGGCCCCGGCCGAGCGCAAGCCGCGCACAGGCACAACGGTTTCTGTGAGTCGTGTCACAAATTGGCGTCTCGCAATTATTGCACTGTGGTGGGTGTTAAAGCTGTCTTTGCTTGGATCGTGATGCTCCCGTACTGCAACATGACACCACGCCCCGCCGCGCCCCGCCACGCCTCTCCACGCTGGGTCCACCTGCCTCTCTCGCCCTCGCCGTGCCGCGCGAGCACAGCCAGGCTCGGCGGCATAGCCCTGTCCTCTTGGTCCCCTTGGGAAACCAGCGTGTCACTAGGTTGGGTCACTACTTCATCTTGCCCCAGCGACAATAAGGAACATTTTGCATTCCTCGGTGCAATGTCTGAAATTGGTGGTGAGGCGTGTAAGTACACACCCTCACACACACACGGGCCGACACTCCTGACACGATTCATTTGACATTGTAATTAATAGTAACAGTTTTTGTATACACACAGAGAACGGTAGTTTTACTTTTAGTTTTTAAAGGAATGACGGAGAAAAAGAAAAGCCATACAGTCTGTTGACGCGAGGTGCGCGTGGGGCAACTCTGGGCAAACTCACGACTAGCTAATTGAGGGAGGGGGCCCCACGGCTGACAAAAAAGGTGAGAAGAATTTGCAAATTAGGAAGGTGTGAGACAACCCGCCTGCTGTGCCTTCTGCAGGACCCCGGGCAGGATGCCTCGCCCACTCCGTAATCTTGTCGTAAAACTAGAGTTACGTCCGCGCGCCACCGCAGCAGCAGCAGCAGCAGCAGCACTCTGCCGTGCCGCCCTATGCCGCTGCACCTGTACGCTGGCACATTAAACCAACGTTTTCTGCGCGACTTTTCGGGCCGAAGGCGACGGCGAACTTTCTCCGATTCGATTATTAACTCCGGTGGAAATATTTTACTTTTTTTTTACCAACAGTATTAAGGCCCTACGCCCAACGGGCGGCCGGGCGCCTATAGTTGTCTGCGCCAGTCAGGACGGACCACAGCATCCGCAACGGTAAATCACTGCGATAAATGTCGGTGCGGTACGCGCGGGTGTGCTGGCCGGGCTAAGATCACGTAGATTCGGCGAAGGTCCTTCATCAGAGATGGCGGCTGGCTTGATTTCGGTATCACAAAATAGCCATCTCTGCGAGGCTGCAGCCGCGGCGGCTGCTGCAGCGCTTGATGCACTTTGACTCACGGCCTTGTCGGTGACTTCTGATTTTTTTTTCTTCGCCTCCTCCGCCTTTTTCGTGACGCCGTCGGCGCCGGCCGCGCGCCCCTGCCAGTCTGTGCTGACGGTAACAAGACCTCCCCGAGCCTCCCCGTCGCTATCGCGGCTATCACGGGGGTATCGCGCCGGATCGCGCGTCGGACGTGTGACCCCTCGCAGCCGACGCAAGCCCGACGCGACGACGTATCACCGCGTTACGCAATGCTAATAAAAGGCGATGCAAAACGTTTTGCAAAAGTCATTGTGATTTTAATCTTCCCTTTGCGCCTCGCAGCAGCACCAGGGAGGGGCTCGACCGACCAGTCCTCAATGTGTTTTGTCATCCAGGTGCCAATGTGATGCAAATGGCCGGCGTAAGTGAGCGTAAGATTCTCATGACCCGCCGGCCCGGTGCTGGAGGCCCCGCGCCGCATCACGCGTCATGCGTGGATGTCACGAGGTGTTTGCTCGGCTAGAGGACTGGCGTCTGGCTAGAGCACTACCTCTTTTCATCTGGGTAGGCGTGCGGACTAGTTAGTTGCATACACGCACGGGGTCGGAGGGCGTCGGGTGCGGTTGGGGCCACGGTTCGATTTTTTAAGGAAAAGGGGAAATCTTTGAGAAACTCCCATAATTTAAAGGAATCCCTTCGAAATTTGAGGAAAGTCCATCTTATAAGGAGGATATTCTCACATTTTTTGAGGAGACTTTAAAAATCGGAGGAGTTTTTCTCAAAATATAGAAGTTTCTCAAAGTTTTCTCTATTTCCTCAAAACGTAAAGCAGACATTTTTTTACCACGCCCCAAGTGAGATCGAGCAGCGTGCCTGGCTGACTGGAGTCGATCCCGAAATAACAAAAGTCTTGAGAGCGTTTGAGAGGGCAGGGAAGAGTGGAGGAGATATCGCTTAGGTCGGGGGAGCGTAACATACTGGGGGAAAAAACAACAGATTGTAAAAGCAAAAGGTTTACTGCTCCACATATAAGTTCTGTTCAAATCGCAACGATCCTCTTCAAAAGATCCAGAGCCATATGGGTACGGTGCTCATGTTTTAGTTTCAATCATAAAAAAAAAAAATAAGAACGATGCCACAGGAAAAAAAATATTCTACCCTCTAATTAGTTACGAAGCTGCGTCGGGGGTATTTTTACGATCGCGTATGAAAGAAGGTTTTACGGCGCACCAAGTGTCGGCGGAAGGAATTCCGCGTCATCTCGTGTCGCATCAGCGCGACGGCGGGGCGCAAACATCTCTATCGGAAAAAAGGGCCGTCGTCTCGATCGACGTACAGCATCCGGTGTCGGTCGGCCAGCGAACAGAGACAAGAAACGACGACATATAACTTTCAGAGACATTTACTTGCAATTTTATAGATAGTGAAATGTTTGATTAAAAAACACAAAAATGTAGCTTTTAACACATGAGAACAAAATATGCATTTTACTTGGAACAGTCCTGGACGAAAGTAGTTTAAAGTTCTCCTCAGAAACACGAGACCCGTTGCCGCGCGCATCACCCTAATAGACGTATTAGCAGTCTTCTTCCCTCCTCGGCTTCCTCCAACAAAGTTGAACGCGCCACGAGGAGGTAGGAGGTCTTTCCAGCGCCTTGTTGACTTTCACGCCAGCAACAACTGCTACACTGATGATGAGATGATTATTACTGATGCGCGGGTGGGATGGGAAACGAGGTGAAACTAGAGTGCGAGCCGCGGTACTGACTGTACCACGCCACCTCGGCGTACAGTGTGACGAGGTGTGTGACCTCCGCGAGGACCACTATGGCGGATGCTGGATCCGCACGTCGACGATCTGACGTTCGCCTGGAAACAGAAAAAGAAGTGCCTTTTTTCAGATTTTTCAGAATTGTCCGGAAGCGTCTAGACATGGTTTTGTGAACAACGCTCAGTGCGGCGGTGCACCTTGGGGGTTGTAGTAAAAACCAGAAAAAAGCGTGTCCACATTGTGGTCACTCCGCAGCGAACGTACCGATAGATGTGTCATTTACTATTTTCACTCCGGAGTAAGAATATCATGGCACGGGGGTACTACTGCTATCGATTCGCACCTCTCCGCTTTGCATGGTCCTCGCCATTTCACATGTTTGATAACACGCGCCACCACGTTGCGCAATGAGCCCTGTTGTTTTCCCGCGAAAAGAGGCCGTCCGGAACACGAGGTCCAAGGCGGTGGTGGGTCCGGTGATAGTCCGCCTCCCTTCCCCCTTCCCTCGTTTCTCCCGAAAATTCGTCCGGCGCGACCAAAGAGTGAGGGTTCTGTGCGCAGGCCGCCGCGAGGGCCGCGCGCGCAGCGGATTCGCCAGATATTCGCCGCGCACTTGATGCTAATCTCGTTTTCGCAATTCCCTGATGAACGGTTCTTACCCAAATGGCCGGCGGCCGGCGCCATGGCCCTTGGCCCGGGTCTCGGGGGTCCACTGGGCCCCCCTCTGGGCCCGCCCCTGTCTCCCAGCATTG